GCGATAGCCGCGGGAAAACGATTTGTACAGTTCTGATTATTTGAGTGGGACAAATGTTTGGGCCAAGCAAGTAAATAAGAAAAATCAAAATAACAACAACAATAACAATATAAACATCAATAATAATAATAATAACAACAAAAAATACAGCAACGACAATTCTCTTAACGTCATCCCGCTGATAAACGACAGCAGTTTAACGATCGATTTCAATAGTGACGTCATCGATGACGTCAATCGATACTCGAACGTTCTGAGGGAGTCGTCGAATCAATTGGTGAGGAAAATTTTGAAATCGCGTGGTTACTTGAGGAGTAGAAAAACTTCATCCGCGGCCGATGAAATGAGTGTTGCAACTTCAAATTTTGATGACAACGACGGGAAAAAACTTGAAACCACAATTAACATTGATGACGACGCTAATAATAACTGTAACGATGGCGTTGACGTCAAAGTTTTAAACAAATCCAAGCACACAAAAAGTGATTTTGATCCTGAAAAACTTGAAAAAAATCAGTTGAATACCGATATAATAACCAACATCGAATCGAGCCGAAACTCGATATTCGAAGCCGAAAACGATGGTTCAATTTGCGAGCGCATATCAAATCCAGACACTCATTCACTGCTTAATTATGAAAACAAACCAAAAACCAAAAGCATCATTACAAGACATAAAAACATCAAAATTGATGGCGCTAATAACATTGGGAGGATTAATAATTTTGCTTCGAGTTTCAGCGAATACAAACGAAACAACATTTGCAGCATCACTAGCAACAACAACAACAACACTAACAACGACAACGTTATCAACAATGACATCAACACAGGCAACAACAAGTTATACAGCAATGTAAGAAATATTATGAACAACACATTTGATCATACAAACAGTTATAGAAACATCCTCACAGATAGAAAAAAGGTTATTGACACAAATAACAACAACACAAACAACAACTGCACAAACAACAACAACAATACAAACAACAACATCATCAACAGCAACAACAGGAAAACTCGCCACAAACAGATTATCCCACATAATCGTAATGAATCCAGCTCCGAAAATGAATCCCAATCTAATCCTTTTCTCTGCAATTCCACAACAACAACAACAACAACAACAAACAACAGCAACAACATTAATGACAACAACAACATAAATAACAATAACAATGAAGACTCAAACAGCAGCAGCAACAACAGCAACATCATTAAAAATACTAATGAATATAATAACAGTATTTATTGCTTCAATAGTACAAACGACATTTCTTTCGATAAAAACAACAACAACATCAACAACAACATAAATAACATCAACAACAACATTTACAACAACAACACCATCAACATCAACAATAACGACAATAACAACAACAACACCAACAACAACATCAACAACAACAACACCAACAACACCACCGACAACAAAACACCGACCACCGGCGTCATACACAACACCTACACAAACAACAACAATCTCGACAATGACAACGAAAAAATTTTACACAGCAGAAAAGGCTTACAAATATTCTCTAAAAATTATAAAATTTTTAGCAAAACAAATCCCAACATTGCAACAGTTAACAACAACGACGACAACAACAACAA